GTGAAATCTCATTATTTTTAATTTAATAAAGTTCTATTTTTCCAATTTTTCCAGTTCATTGGACCTGCAGGTACATCTCCACCCTTGGTATTACTGGTGTAAATTACTTGAGCTCAGTGCTTTGAAACCAATTGATAAACCCTTTACTCAGAAGCTCCTACAGCGCTGCCCTGGCCAGGGACCCCTGGATCTTCAGTCTTTCAGAGGCCACAGCAGGGTTTACGAGCTTGTAGTTGGGAACTTCCTAACAGAGCTTGTTATAAGTAGCTTTGTCAAATAAAATTAGGTTATTGAGCTTGTCCTGAACTTTACCTTTAGACCACTTCTTTTTGGCCTTGGCCTCCATTCTTGTTCATGGGGTCAGAACATTTCTTAACTGCCTTTCGGCACCTTCTTTTCCTTTTTGTCCTTGGGCAGCATGGAGAGGTGCTGAGAGCAGCAGCGATCACCTCAACTTTGCAGGTGTAGAAAAACAAAACAAAACAAAACAAAATCACCTCATTTAGATTTTATTTGCATTTCAATAATGGCTAGTGATCCTGAGCATCTTTTCATGTGTCTATTGGCCATTTGTATTTTATCCTTTAAAAAATGCATGTTCATATCATTAGCCCATTTCTTTGCAGAATTGTTTGTTTTGTTGACTTGCTTCAGCTCTTTATAGATACTGGATATTAATCTTTTATTAGCTGAAGAGTTTGCAAATATGTTTTCCCATTCTGTGGATTGCCTCTTCACTTTGTTGAATGTTACCTTTGCCCTACATAAGCTTCTTTGTTTATGTAATCCCATTTGTCCATTTTTTCTCTTTATTGCCTGTGCTTTTGGGGTCTTATCCAAGAAATCTTGGCCTATGCCAGTGTCTTTCAGAGTTCTCTTTATTTTATTTTTATCTAGTCTGGAATTAAGATATTGGGACCTCGTAAAGTATTTGGTGAGATTTTCTTTTCAATTGTTTCGAATAGTATGACATGAATTGGGATTAGTTCTTTACAAGTCTTGTAGAATTCAGTAGAAAAGCTTTCTTGTCCCATGCTTTTCTTTGTTAGGAGGATTTTTATTATTGGCTCAATTGCCTTCTTGATAATTGGCCTGTCATATTTTCTATGTCTTCATAATTCAATTTTGGTAGATTGTATGTGTCCAGAAAACTACTTCCTATATATTTTCCAATTTGCTGATGTAAAATTGTTTGTAATAATTCCTGATGATTCTTTTTATGTCTGTGGTATCAGTTGTAACACCCCATTTTTAACTCTGATTTTATGATTTGTGACTTTATTTTGGTTGGTTGGAACCATGTCTCCTTTTAGAAACAATAATACTTGTTTGAAATATCCAGGCACCCTGGCCTTGTGTGCATGTCCATTAATTATAGTCACATCTTCCCATTGAATTGATCCTGTAGTCATTACATAATGCCTTTCTTTGTGTATTTTAACAGAGTTTATCTTAAATTATATTTTGTCTGGCATTAGGATCATTGCTTCTGCTCATTTTTGCTTTCCATTACTATTGGATTTTTTTCCATTTTTTTTACTTTCATTCTGTCTGTGTATTTGTTGACGAGGTGTGTTTTTTTTTGTATGCAACAAATAGATGGATCTTCTTTTTTAATGTTTTAAGCCAATCATGTTTTTGTAATCAAGATTCTTATTTTTCTCTTTCCTATTTCTTTCTTGTTATTAATATAAAGAGAACAGATTCCATGCATTCCATAGGTAATTATCACTTTGGTACTGCCATTTTTCATAAATATCTTGATTATTTGTTTTGGATTTCCTTTGTACATTTACTAGGAGATTTTCTGCCTTCACATTATTTCTGTTGATGTATGTAGCACATACACAAGTATTATTTGTAGAACTGGATGAGTGGTTACAATGTCTTTCAATTTCTATTTATTTTGGAAGGTTTTTATTTAACCTTCATTTTCAATGAGAGCTTCACTGGATACAGTATTTCGGGTTGTCAGGTTTTTTTAATTTCTTTTAGAATTTGAACTATATCTTTCTTTTTTATATTTATTTATTAATTTAAAAGTCGGAGTTACACAGAGAGAGAAGGAGAGGGAGAAGGAGAGAGAGAGAGAGAGAGAGAGAGAGTGAGAGAGAGAAAAAGAGATGTCTTCCATTCTCTGATTCACTCCTCAATTGGCTGCAACAGCTGGAGCTGCCCCAATCTAAAGCCAGGAGCCAGGAGCTTCTTCTGACTCTCCCATGTGGGTGCAGAGGCTAAAGGACTTGGGCCATCTTCTACTGCTTTCCCAGGCCACAGCAGAGAGCTGGATCAGAAGTGGAACAGCTGGGACTCGAACTGGCACCCTTATGGGATGCTGGTACGGCAGATGGCAGCTTTACCTGCTACACCACAGCGCCAGCCCCTGAACTATATCTTTTTATTCTCTGCTACACTGTAGGGTTTCTGATGAGCTGTCAATCATATTGGAGATCCTTTGATGGTAATCTGGTGTTTCTCTCATATATGTTTTAGGATCTTTTGTTTATGTTTTAATTTCAAAAGTTGTGGTTGAGTTCATTTCTGATCATGCTTGGAAGTTTTATGTATTTCCTGTGTTTGGATGTCCCTGTTTCTCCAAATCAGGCAAGTTTTCTGCTGGTATTTCACTGAATGGGTCTTCTAATCCACTGTCTATATGCACACCTTCAGGAAATCCTTAGACATATATGCTTGGTTACTTGATACTATATCATCAATCTCAATCACTATTTTCATTTTTTCTAATTTTCTTCTTCTTTTCCTTCTTATATTTCCCAGATATTTCAAGGATCTCTCTTCTGTATATGGTAATTTTTTTCTGCCTCATTTAGTCTGACAATAAAGTTTTCTAGTGCATTTATTATTTGACATATTGAACAATTCCTTTCCAATATTTAATTTTGATTTCTCCTCAATATATCCACCTACAAGCAGAATTTCTCACACATGTCATGTAGGGATTTTTTTTAACTCCTGTAATGACTTCTCTGTGTCTTTGAGTGATGTTATGATCATTCTTTTGAATTCCTTTTCAGAAATTTCCTCAATCTCTTTGCCTTCACATTCCAATATGGGTGTGCTGTTTTCCTTCTTGTTCTTGTTTCTATTATTCATTTATTTTTAGGCATTTGTGGAAATAATTGTTGGTCTTCTCTGAGGGTTTTAATCTTTGAAATATGTTTCTGTGTCTTAGTCAACTGTCTGCTACATCCAGAAATGTGTGCTGAGTGGCACCAGTGTGCTCAGGACAGTGCCTGCTTCCATAAGCAAATGTGTTGAAATCTTTATTTCTTTGCTTTGGTGGTACTGCTCCATGTGGCCAGGGACACATGCAGAGGTTGTAGTGACACTGCAGTCTCCCTGGGAGAACCAGCATGACCTTGGCCCTCAGGTGAGGAGCTAGGTGCTTAGGTGGGTGGGAGTAGGCTTGAGGGTCAGGGGTGATCTCTGGATTCTATTTCTTTCATTAATTTTTTGGGTAATAAATATTTATTTTACAAATTTAGGTTTCAGATAGTTCTTACTTTTCTGGGTTCTTGAGATGATTTGTTAGTTTTTTGTTTTTTTGAAATTTTTTCCCCTTACATCTTGGTTCTTATTGCTATAAATTTCCTGCTTATTTTTGCTTTTGTTTTACCCCAAAAGATTTGACATATTGCATTTTAATTTTTAATGTTCTTTCTTTATTTTAAGATGGAAATAATCTCATATACTTTATATACACAGTTTTAAGGCATAATGATAATTCCTACCATAATCTCCCTTCCTCCTTAATTCCTGCCCACTCTTCATATATATATACACACACACACATATATATGTTTTTACAATGACATGCTTTCAATTTTCCTTAAAATCACAAGCTTAATCCCCATCCAAATACAGATTTCAACAACTAGTAAGTTGAAAAACACTGTTCCTAAGGAGTATATATAAGGGCTATAAACAAGGACTAATCAAATTTCAAAATGTCAATTTCATACATATACCTTACTTTTTTGTACTCTGTATATTATTTAAAACAAATCAGGAAAAACATATATTTGTCTTTTTAGGACTGTCGTTATTTTAGTGAACATAATGGCCTCCAGTTGCATCCATCTTGTTACAAAAGAGGATTTCATTAATTTCTATGGCTGAGTAGCATTCCATCGTGCATATATTGCATAATTTCTTTTTTTTTGTGTAGCATTTTATTTCTTCTATGTAGCTAGGCATATTGTCAACACGTCTCCGTGAAAGATGGCAATCAGACACACCGACAAGAAATAAACATCCCGAAATTAAAATTGAACTTGTGTTAAGTGGCACAGAGGGCGTAAGCATTTTGCACTTGGCTCCAAAGAAGTACTTGCAGCCGTGGGAAATGAAGACGGGCAAGGTGTTTTGCACTGGAGACTTCTTGGTTTCAACACCGGAACGAAATACTGCACTGGCGTTCATAATTCCATGGGAAATGTGCAAATCAAAAGGCTATGGAAGCTGCAACTGAAGGTGAGAAAAGGAAAGGCGAGACCTACATCCTTCAAACGTTGCCCTCACGTTGTCTTTAAAGGGTCTGCAGCTGATGCTCCTGTGATTTTCGCAAAGAACAAAAACAGCTTTTGCCCCCGCTGCGGGATTCAGACACGCACATCAGGTCCTGGCTATGCTGAGTGGTGTGCGCCCCGCCTGGGGGCAAGGAGAGCTGATCTGTGAGTCAGCTCCCCGCAGTCTCCAGGTGCGCCCTGCGGGGTCTGCAAGGGGGCAGCGGCTTGATCCTACTCAGAAGGCCGGCGAGGCCCCTTCTCCGATGGAAGGAGCGGCCAGCGAGATTAGTTTCGAGCCCTCTTCCTTCCGCGCACTGACAGTCCAGCAGCGCCATGGCTGCGGACAAGTGCTGGCCCAGCAGCGCGTTGTCGCTGGGAACTGAGCCGGCGGCGCTGTTCTCTTCCTCCCGCTGCTGCTGCTGCTGAAAGGTCCACGCGGCCGCGTTGGCTGCCTACACGTGCAACAAGCGGACAGCGCCAAGCTGCCCTACTCATACATCGTGCTTATCACCATGGCCGTCTTACTTAGCCTGCACAAGCGCCTCACTCTGGATGGCATCTGGGCCTTCATCAGCGGCCGCTTCCGCTACTACAGCTGCAAGTTCCCAGCCTGGCAGAACAGCATCCCCCACAACCTCTCCTTCAAGGATTGCTTCATCAAGATCCCCGTGAGCCAGGCCACTCAGACAAGGGCAACTATTGGAACCTGGACCCAGCCTCTCAGGACATGTTGGACAATGCAGCTTCCTGCACATTGTCGCATTTCAAGCGTCACCAGCTGCCCGCTGGGGCACACCAGCACCCCTTCCCCTTGCCTGCAGTGCCCACCACTCTGAATGGCCCACACCTGGGCCTCCTCCCTGGGACCCGGGCTGCACCGCCGCCTGTCCTGGGAGCTATCCCCGCATGGTCCGTGGGAGCCGCCCATGTGCCCTGCTGCACCCGCATCACCTTCGCTACCTGCTGCTGTCTGCCCAGGCCTAAGTGGACCATCTGAGGAAGACTGGAGGCACAGACGTGGCAGCCCCCAATGCCTTGAGGGTGGTGCAAACCTCGCAGGGTTCCAGGCCTTGGAAGGAAAGCAAAGGCCCGGGGTCGCTATAGCAGGGGCGGATGCCCCTCCTTCAGCAACTACAGTATCCTGAAAGGGGTGAGGGGTTAGGGTACAGGGAGGGTGCCCAGCCTGCCGATGACCCCGTGGAGTTACTGTCACCTGCTGCAGTGCCAGTTGTGCCTGGTGCACAGGGGAATTCCCCTGGGGCTGCCACAGACCTCGTTGGTGCTTCGAACTTGGGGCCAACCTGTGAGAGGTCGCTGCAGTTGCCGCTGCTTTCTGTGCACTTTTGGGGGATAAGCGACCTTGCCTTGCTGCGCCCCCTGCAACAGAGGCGGCCCAGGCTGCTGTAGGAAATTCTGGCTTCCCTCTGCCTCCTTGTCATCCTGCTCGCCGTCTTCTTCATCTTTCTCCTCTCTCAGGACATCGATCTCACCTTCCTCTCCATCAGAGCCCCGGAGGCTGTGCTGTGCCCTGGAACAAAGGCCCTCAGCGCAAGCCAAGTTCATGGAGAATCAGGTGCTGCTGACCCAGAGGCGGCGGCCATTCCTCTGGCTTAGACTGGACTGGCAACCTGGGACAGGTGTTCCAAGAGGCAGGAACATTCGTCTTCTGCTTGTTTCTGCTTTTCGCCACCATCCAGACAAGATCCTCTTTGCCCTGTGTTGAGCCTTCTCTGTAGACGCAGCGTGCAGGACTCCCTGCTTTATAGCACTGATTCCCCTTCCTCCAGAGGCGCCTCATCCTCCTGACCCCATGACACCATCCAATGGTGAAGGTCCCCTGTGCAAACTCCTCACCAGTAAGGGCCCCCCGCCCCTCATCCCACCCCTCACTATTGGCCAGGGGAAGGTGCTTCACCCCACTGGCTTAGTCTGTCCCTCCTGGTGCTGCTTTCTGATTACTCTTTGAAAGCTACACGGAATAAAGAGGAGGTAGGAGAACTGGATACTCAGTATGTCTGGTTCATCACGCACTGTCTAAGGTGGTTCTGCTCTCATTCAGAATGAGGAGGGCTGGAAGTATTTTTAGTGTTCTGACTCTATCCCCAGCTCCAGGGCAGTGTCAGGGGCTGTTGCGTTGTGCTCATTACTTTCCACCTCAGCTCCTGACATGCTCTCTCTCGCCCAGATTTCCTGAAAAGTACTAGCACCAAGTTATGGGAGTTCAAGGTGGAGAGAAGGCGGGAGGGTGAAAGTGGACTTCCTTGCCCCTTACAGCAGTGATTCTGGAATTTCTTTGAACAGTGAAACCACAGTAAGAAATACATTTTATAGACTGGTGCCATGCACCAGCACCCTGGGGTTCTAGACCCCATTGGGACGCTGGATTCTGTCCCGGTTGCCCCTCTTCCAGTCCAGCTCTCTGCTGTGGCCCAGGAGGGCAGTGGAGGATGACCCAAGTCCTTGCGTCCTGCACCCACATGGGAGACCAGGAGGAAGCATCTGGCTGCTGGCTTCAGATCAGCGCAGTGCCAGCCATAGCGGCCACTTGGGGGGTGAACCAATGAAAGGAAGACCTTTCTCTCTGTCTCTCTCTCTCTCACTGTCTAACTGCCTGTCAAAAAGAAAAAAAAATACATTTTACGCCATAACCATGCAGATATAATTTCTTTATGCAGCTATCAGTTGACAGACATTTGGATTGATTCCATATAGAACCTATTGTGAGTTGAGCTGCTATAAACATGGGGATACAGACTTCTCTTTGATTTCTTCAATGATCTATTTTTATTCAAGGCTGGCGCCGCGGCTCACTAGGCTAATCCTCTGCCTTGCGGCGCTGGCACACAGGGTTCTAGTCCCGGTCAGGGCGCCAGATTCTGTCCTGGTTGCCCCTCTTCCAGGCCAGCTCTCTGCTGTGGCCAGGGAGTGCAGTGGAGGATGGCCCAAGTGCTTGGGCCCTGCACCCCATGGGAGACCAGGAGAAGTACCTGGCTCCTGCCATCGGGTCAGCGCGGTGCGCTGGCAGCAGCGCGCCGGCGGTGGCAGCCATTGGAGGGTGAACCAACGGCCAAAGGAAGACCTTTCTCTCTGTCTCTCTCTCTCACTGTCCACTCTACCTGTCAAAAAAAAAAACCCAAAACTATTTTTATTCAGTCATATGTAGTTTAGTCTCTACATATGTGTGTAATTATTCAACAACAGTTTTATTCCAGTGTGGTAGAAATCAACAAACAACAAATGCTGGTGAGAATATGGGGGAAAAGATGCCCTAATCCATTGTTTGTGGGAATGTAAACTTGTGCAGCCTCTGTGGAAGACAATATGGAGATAACTCAGAAATCTCAATATAGACATACTATGACCCACCAATCCCACTCCTGGAAATTTTCAAAAGTAACAAAATTAGCATACCTATATCCCCATGTTTACTTCAGCTCAATTCACAATAGCTAAGATATGGAATCAACCCAGTCGGCCATCAACTGAAGACTGGATGCAGAAAGTATGGTATATATACCCTATTGAATATTACACAGTGATAATAATAATAAATGCTGTCTTTTGCAACAAAATGGATGCGATTGGAAGCCATTATAGTTAGTGAAATAAGCGAGTCCCAAAAACTCGAATACCATATGTTCTTTTTGATTTCTGGTAACTAATAGAGTACCTAAAAGGTAATCTATAGGAGTGAAGTTGACACTTCGAGATGTGATGATTTTGAACAGCCCTTGTCTTGACTGTTAGGGAGCAGTGCTTTTTAATTTCTTCATACTATATTTTGAACTTTTTTACTTAGGGTACAGTTAATCTTATGAGTATGAAGTGAACTGAAAATAGACCTTTGTAACAAACAAGAATGGGAATAGGAAAGGAAGGAGGAAAAAGAATGGTAGTGCAGGGAAGAGGTAGAGTAGGGTGGGTGGAATCACTATGTTCCTAAATTTGTATATATGAAATGCATGAAGTTTGTATTATTTAAATCAAATTTAATAAATAAATAAACAAATCCTTGAAAATGAAATGATACACTAGGATTTTTATTTTTGTAAAATTTGCTTAGACAGATTTTCTTGTTATTCAACAATAAGAAACAAAATACATTTTATAATCATCCCCAATGGCTGTGTGGACTAAGGCCTCACCTCACTCTTTTTTTTTTGTATTTCTTTGTTGTTACTTTACCAGATGAAAGTGGAATGTTAAACTCTCCTTGTAATATTATATGCTAACATGTCTTTCCTCTATTTCTGTTAATGTTTGCTATAAGTATTGGATATTTTGGAATTATGTGTATATTCATATATTATCATATCTTCTTGATAAATTGACCATTATTGATTGCATACTGATGTACTTTATATATATTTGTTTTTTGTCTCAATGTCTATTTTTATGTGAATATATTTACTCTTGCTTGCTTTGGTTTCCTTTTGCATTGTATATGTTTTTATATCCTTGTACCTTAAGCCAAATAATATGAACTTTATCTTCTTCAAAAACTTGAGATGTGCAGAACAGTACTGTTAACTACATGTATGTGCATTGCTATAGAATTGGCTTTAAGACTTTCATCTTTAGGACTGAAGTTCTATGCTCATTGATCCGTAACTCAAGCATATCTCCGTTTCCATTTACCCTGCTAAGCACCACTGCATTTTCTCTTTCTAAAGTTTGGTTATTTTAGGTACCTCATGTAGGAGGATGGATGCAGAATTTGGCCTTCTGTGACTCACTTATTTCCTTTAGCATAATATCATCAAGAATCAAACATATCTGTGTATTAACCAGACTTCCTTCTTTCCTAAGGCTAAACAATATCTCATTGCCTTTATGAATATTTTCTTTTTCCATTCATCCGCCAATGGAGGTTTGTATTATAGCCATCTCTTAACTATTGTGAATGAAACTCAGTAAGCAAGATAGAACTAAATCTCCTTTTCAGGTCTTGATTTTAATATTTTGGATAAATATAGAAAATAGGGTTTGCAGGACTATATGACCATTCTGGTATTATTTTTGCATAACATCTAAATTAATTCTTATAGAAATTTGACTATTTTACATTCCCTTCAGCAATGCCAACAGGGTTAATTTATTCACATCTCCTTTAGTACTTTGATTTTGTCCTTTCTAAAACATAATGGTCATCCTTATATGTGTGTGGTGGTATCTTAGTGCAGCTTTGATTATTTTCATATTTGCTATTGATATTGAGATTACTTTATATACTTGTGGCTATTTGTATGTCTTCTTAAGACAAATTGTCTAGTTAAGTCCTGATTCATCTTTAAATTGGCTCATTAGGCTTTGTGCTAATGAGTTGTAGGCATTCCTCATGATTTGTTTGCAATCCACTGATCACACATACTGGTTGCAAACATGTGTGCCCATTCAATAGGTCTCTTTTTCCTCTGTGCACTGTTTCATTTGTTATGCACCACCTCTTTTTTTTTTTTGACAGGCAGAGTGGACAGTGAGAGAGAGAGAGACAGAGAGAAAGGTCTTCCTTTTGCCGTTGGTTCACCCTCCAATGGCTGCCACCGCCGGCGCGCTGCTGCCAGCGCACCGCGCTGATCCAATGGCAGGAGCCAGGTGCTTTTCCTGGTCTCCCATGGGGTGCAGGGCCCAAGCACTTGGGCCATCCTCCACTGCACTCCCTGGCCACAGCAGAGAGCTGGCCTGGAAGAGGGGCTACCAAGACAGAATCCGGCGCCCTGACCGGGACTAGAACCCTGTGTGCCAGTGCCTCAAGGCAGAGGATTAGCCTAGTGAGCTG